TCCGGGTGTGTCTGATGCAATTCTTTATTTTATTGGGGTGGGTTTCAAGGTGTCTTAATTTGTGTAAGTTTTTATAAAATAAAATGCTTTTCTTTTATAAATTTTCAGTCAAAACACAATGCGCCTTTGGCTACCCCAAATGTTTGCTTCCCTCAACGAATATGAACAAATCTCCAATGAGAGTACCAGTATGTGTACCATTCTGGAATATAGTGTCAATAAAACGGAGCTAGTGAAAAATCCCGTGGATGAGTGTACTGTGGTATGTTTTAGAGTACAATTTCTCAAAAATGTTATTTAAAAAAATCCAAGCCTTTATGGGCTCGCAGAAAAGTATTATTTAAAAAAATCCAAGCCTTAATGAGCTCGAAGAAAAGTATTATTTAAAAAATCTCCACCTTAATGAGCTCTCAGAAATATTATTTAAAAAAATCTCCGCCTTAATGGGCTCTCAGAAATATTATTTAAAAATCTACGCCTTAAAAATCAACACCTTAATGGGCTCTCAGAAATATTTAAAAATCTATGCCTTAAAAAATCAACGCCTTAATGGGCTCTCAGAAATATTATTTAAAAATCTACGCCTTAAAAAATCAACGCCTTAATGGGCTCTCAGAAATATTATTTAAAAATCTACGCCTTAAAAAATCAACGCCTTAATGGGCTCTCAGAAATATTATTTAAAAATCTACGCCTTAATGGGCTCTCAGAAATATTATTTAAAAATCTACGCCTTAAAAAATCAACGCTTTAATGGGCTCTCAGAAATATTATTTAAAAATCTACGCCTTAAAAAATCAACGCCATAATGGGCTCTCAGAAATATTATTTAAAAATCTACGCCTTAATGAACTCTCAGAAATATTATTTAAAACTCAACGCCTTAAAAAATCAACGCCATAATGGGCTCTCAGAAATATAATTTAAAAATCTACGCCTTAATGGTCTCGCAGAAAAGTATTATTTAAAAATCTACACCTTAAAAAATCCACGCCTTAATGGTCTCTCAGAAATATTATTTAAAAATTTACACCTTAAAAAATCCACGCCTTAATGGTCTCTCAGAAATATTATTTAAAAATTTACACCTTAAAAAATCCACGCCTTAATGGTCTCTCAGAAATATTATTTAAAAATCTACACCTTAAAAATCCACGCCTTAATGGTCTCTCAGAAATATTATTTAAAAATCTACACCTTAAAAAATCCACGCCTTAATGGTCTCTCAGAAATATTATTTAAAAAATCCACGACTTAATGGTCTCTCAGAAAAGTATCATTTGAAAAATCCACGCCTTAATGTTCTCTCAGAAAAGTATAATTTAAAAAAAAACACGCCTTAATGGGCTCGCAGAAAAGTATTATTTAAAAAAATCCACATCTTAATAGGATTTCAGAAAAATACTATTAAAAAAATAACACCTTAATGGGCTCTCAGAAAAAAATATTTTCAAAATCAACTCCGTAATAGGCTCTCAGTAAAATATATTTTTTTATGGGGGTTCAGAAAAAATATATTTTATTAGATACACTTCTTTTTGGATTCTCCAAAGAATTCTATAGAGTTCATAATGGGCGCTCAGAGAAATATTTTAACAAAATTCACACCTAATTGGGCTATCAGGAATATATTTTATACAACAATTGGCTCCCAGAAAATTTTTGATTGGATTCTTAGTTTATGATATATTCCTTTTTAATTTCAGATTATTACTCCCGCTTCCTATACCAACAACATTATTGTGGCCTGTATTGGTTTTGCGACATATTTAGTGGCTGGTTCACTAATCAATGCCCTGGGAAATAAGAGAATTCAAGGTAAGTTCATGTTCGGAATTAATAAGTCCTTGAAATCAACCTTTTACATTTTATTTCAGTTATTGGTCTATTGGCTGCCGGTACCTGTGGCTTCGCACTCTATTGGTCCTCATCATCGCTGACGACATTAATTATTACCTCAATATATTCGGCATTGGGTAGTATGTCTGCTACATCGTCTATTGGAACTTCTGTCAATCTATTTCCAACTTCACTAAGGTAAAAATTCAAAATCTATGAAGAAAATATTTTTTCTAATTCGAATAATTTCTATCCACGTAGAACAATGATTGTATCGCTGACCATGATGATTGGTCGCATGGGTTCCATATTGGGTAATGTCATGTTTCCCATTTTCATGTCATTCGGTTGTATTCCACCGTTTGTGATGGTCGGTGTGGTCATGTATCGTAAGTATTAATCAAGGAAATCGATTGATGTTTCTGAGAGATATTTTGGTATTAATTCGAAATTTTTTGTTATTTTTTTTCAGTTGGCTGTTTATTGGCTGCATTTTTACCAAGTACAAATAAACTAGAACTTAAGTAAAATAAATGTGTGTTTTTTGTAAATGTGTAATTTATTAATTAATAGTATTTAGTGAAGAAATGCAATTTTGTAAATTAACAGATAATGTATTTTAAATTAATTTGTATGTAGCAGATAAATAAAAACATCATAAAAGGAAACCAATAATATCGAAGTTTGAAATTTATGTTATAGGAGGCCTAAATCAAAAAAATATATCTGAGATCCCAATAAATAATATTAATAATAATAATTTTCTGAGAGCCTATCAAGGCGTGGATTGTTGGAATAATAGTTTTCTGAGAGCCCATCAAGGCGTGGATTGTTAGAATAATAATTTTCTGAGAACCGATCAAGGCGTGGGATGTTGGAATAATAATTTTCTGAGAGCCCATCATGGCGTGGATTGTTGGAATAATAATTTTCTGAGAGCCCATTAATGCGTGGATTGTTGAAATAATAATTTTCTGAGATCCCATCAAGGCGTGGATTGTTGGAATAATAATTTTCTGAGAGCCAATCAAGGCGTGGATTTTTTAAATAATACTTTTTTGAGAGCCCATAAAGGTGTGGATTATTGGAATAATAATTTTCTGAGAGCCCATCAAGGCCTGGATTGTTGGAATAATAGTTTTCTAAGAGCCCATCAATACGTGGATTGTTGGAATAATAATTTTCTGAGAACCCATCTAGGCTTGGGTTGTTGGAATAATAATTTTCTGAGAGTCCATCAAGTCGTAGGTTGTTGGAATAATAATTTTCTGAGAGTCCATCAAGTCGTGGGTTGTTGGAATAATAATTTTCTCTTAGAGCCCATCAAGGCGTGGATTGTTGGAATAATATTTTTCTGAGATCCCATTAAGGCGTGGGTTGTTGGAATAATTATTTTCTGAGAGCCCATCAAGGCGTGGATTTTTTAAACAATACTTTTCTGAGAGCCTATCAAGGCGTGGATTGTTGGAACAATAATTCTCCGAGAGCCCATCAAGGCGTGGATCGTTGGCATAAAAATTTGCTGAGAGCCCACCAAGGCGTGGATTGTTGGAAACATAGTTTTCTGAGAGCCCATCAAGGCGTGGATTGTTGGAATAATAATTTTCTGAGAGCCCATCAAGGCGTGGATCGTTGGAATACTAATTTGCTGAGAGCCCACCAAGGCGTGGATTGTTGGAATAATAATTTGCCGAGAGCCCATCAAGGCGTGGATTGTTGGAATAAAAATTTTTTGATAGCCCATCAAGTCGTGGGTTGTTGGAATAATAATTTTTTGAGAGCCCATCAAGGATTGTTGGAATAATATTTTTCTGAGATCCCATTGGGGCGTGGGTTGTTGGAATAATAATTTTCTGAGAGCCCATCAAGGCGTGGATTTTTAAATAACATTTTTCTGAGAGCCCAGCAAGGCGTGGATTTTGTAAATAATATTTTTCTGAGAGCCCAGCAAGGCGTGGATTTTGTAAATAATATTTTTCTGAGAGCCCAGCAAGGCGTGGATTTTGTAAATAATATTTTTCTGAGAGCCCATCAAGGCGTGGATTGTTGGAATAATAATTTGCTGAGAGGCCATCAAGGCGTGGATTGTTGGAATAATAATTTTCTGAGAACCCATCAAGGCGTGGATTGTTGGAATAATAATTTTCTGAGAGCCCATCAAGACCTGGATTGTTGGAATAATAATTTTCTGAGAGCCCATCAAGGCGTGGATTGTTGGAATAATAATTTTCTGAGAGCCCATCAAGGCGTGGATTGTTGGAATAATAATTTTCTGAGAGCCCATCAAGGCGTGGATTTTTAGAATAATAATTCTCTGAGAGCCCATCAAGGCGTGATTTGTTGGAATAATAATTTGCCGAGAGCCCATCAAGGCGTGGATTGTTGGAATTATAATTTTCTAAGAACCCATCAAGTCGTGGGTTCTTGGAATAATAATTTTTTGAGAGCCCACCAAGGCGTGGATTGTTGGAATAATAGTTTTTTGAGAGCCCATCATGGCGTGGATTGTGTGGAACATGTGGTTCCGCCATGTTTTAATCAGTATTTTTACAACAAAAAGAACGTAATTTGGCATTTCGGGCTCTAACAGATACTTTTTTGAAGAACATTTTTAATAACTTTTTCTGATATTTTGACTAATCCCATCTACTGGCAAACACCATTTTAGTGACTGTTATTTAGCATTCAGGATTCCTGGTGAATAAAGAACTTCTTCCCAACAATTTTTCAAAGATCTTGTGGATGTAATTAGTCATTTCGGGTTCTCCTTAGGGGCGAAGATTTTAGCATCAATAATTGCGAATTTCATCAGCAGTAGAAAATCCAACATTACTATATGTGTGTGAATAGGAAATAAAACAAAACCTACATAAAATAAAAAAACCTACATACACACTATCAACATTGTGAAGTCATTGCCATGATTTTTTTACAATCCAATAAAATTTATGAAAGTAGATAAAACGCTGGATAAGAATATATTTTTTCAAGATACCAGACAAACTGGAAAATGTATGCCATTTAAATCAGTTAGATAGAAAACAGTAGCGAAAACGGTTCCAAACCCAAAAATCTAGCGGCAATCAAAATAAACTATTATTAACTTAACAATGAGATTTTATTAACAATAACAAATTAAAAAATAATAATAAAAATAAAAAATGGATTCCATACCAAACACTCCTGTAACGGAAGATGCTCCAAAAAGTAATAGTTATTGTTATGAAAAAAATTAATTATTAAAAAAAAATAATAAATTCAATTTTCCCAAAGTTTATCCCCTCAAAAAAAGTAATGATTATGGCCATGATTTCGAAACACCAGCGGATTATGAGACCGCCATACAGGTATGTGGGTTTGGGCGATTCAACATTATCCTACTACTGGCCGCCATACCAGCTATTATGGGATCAGTATTTGAAACTGCTGTTGTGTCATTTATTGTACCCAGTGCCGAATGTGATTTGAATTTAGATTTAGTTGATAAGGGCATATTGAATGGTATCACTTATGGAGGTAAAGTCCGAATAAAGATAATGTGGATTTTTTCAAAATAAAATTATTTGTTTGGATTTTCATTGTCTAGGTATGATTGTATCTGCTGTTGGATGGGGTTACCTTGCCGACTCCAAGGGTCGTAAAAATTTACTTATCTGGGGATTTCTGATCGACGTGATATGTGTTATCTGTGCAGCGATATCACAAAATGTTGTACAACTGATGCTGGCGAAATTTTTTGGCGGATTTGTGTAAGTAGATAATCATATCAAAATGAACGGGGTTTTGGAGGGCTGGATGGTTTCCACTATCCGAAAAGCTAAATATGTTTAATATCTAACTTATAAAAAGTAAAAAAGTCGCTAATTACATCGCCTTTCGTGAGGCCCAAAAAAAAAGGATCTTATATGGTACAAACAATAAACCACCACAATTAAAAATGACGATATATAAGTGCCTTCAAAATGTCAAAGCATGGACGTACTTCGAACATTTTCGAAAGATAAGTTTCCCTCTCTCCAGTAAACCTAAATTCTAAACTACTGGCAATTCAATGGGAACATGTGTGTGCTCTGCCAAAACATGGACCTATTTCGAAAATGTTCTGCAAATATGTTTTCCAGTCCGCCAAGAACGCGGAATTCCAAGCCACATTTAATTCGGTGTAAAAATACGGTCTCTAATATAACGCAAATGGAAGCTGTGCTGGAAAATAGGAATTCGGCTAGAAAAGGCGCCACGCAGATGAAAATGGCAACATTAAATAAGCAAGGACCCCAACCACTGCACAATATTACAGGGGGCGTACTTTCTAGGCAATGATAGATGGTAGCCCCATCACCTTGGACAGATTACAGCAGACCAATCATCGACTTACCTGTAGTAGGAAACATATACTTTGTTGAAGCCATATGTTCACAAGATGAGTAACAGGAAAAAAAATTCCAAAATGTGGGAAGCACTAGGTTGCTCCTTTTTTTAAGAATTTGAATCAAAACTTTGCAAAAGATTTCGATTTTTATGGTGAATTCATACGAAAATCAGAAGAAAACTGTGTGAAGTTGCCCACAAATTCGAAAAGTTTTGTCGGATCTAGAGAGAAATTTTTGAAGAACATTCCTTCCATTCCATGTGCAGTTTACTGGGGAAGTAATCTAAAAACCATTACAGAATCTCGGAAAACCCCTGATATTAGAACCCTGTGGTGGAGTCCATAACTACGTAATGGACAAGTATTTAGAGTTGCGAGAACGCCAAAACACGTTAGGGACTGTATCATACGCAATATTCTGGTTTGGTTGAGACCTCGTGTTCAAGTTCAAGTTTATTAATTCAATTCATTAATACAATTTATATATGACTTATGTCTAACAAAAGCTCTTAAGGGCTACTTAAAACTACTTAGCATACTAATATTTATCTAAGTTTAACTCATTAATACATATATATGTGCATAATGTATGCATCATATCGCTAACACCAGAAATTAAATTTCATTATATGTAATTGAGACCTCGTGAAAAATAGATAGCTATACATTATGCTGGAAATTAGTTTCTTGAGTTTCGTTCTTAATTTTTTATTTTGATGATTTATCCACTGGAGCTTGTTCTACGTTATGAAACTGCCATCTATCGTAACCTAGATTCAACGCCTTCTTAGAATTTGTACAGTGGTTGGGGTCCTTGCCTATTTTAGTGTTGCCATTTTCTTCTGGGTGGCGCTATCTCCGGACATATCTCTTTGCTGTTGATGCCAACGTTGGTTATTAGATTGTCAGAGGACTTCGGGTTTATTTCATATGGAGGGGATTTTTTTTCAAACATTTTAATGCATTTTCCCTCTTCTGTTGGGATGCACTACGCCACTAAGTTTTTTTGATGATGAATCTGCAGATTTTATATACTCGGTACTTTTTTCAAATCCATTGATTTCGTATGACATCTGACCATCTTTATTTTGTTATTATTCAGCTAGTCCAATATTCTTGTTACCCAGTCATCAATTTATTTTTTTTCAACTCCTTTTCTACAATTTTTAGCATTTGTGGCCCCTTTGCTGTTCTAATTTCATATTTATCCGAATTCCATGGCAGCAATCGTCGTCCACAGGTTATGATGATTGTTGGCATTATGTTTATGATATCGAATATTATATTACCGATATTGGCAATGTCGATACTACCCAAAGATTGGAGTTTTCAAATATTCAATATGAAATGTAAGTTAAAGTCCTCCAATCATAAACAAATATAATTTTTAATTATAATCTCCTAACAGTTGTTTCTTGGAAAATATTTATTGCCATTTGTGGAATACCCAGTTTGTTGGGTAGCCTACTTTTGTGTCTTCTACCAGAAAGTCCACGTTTTCTAATGTCCAATGGAAGGAATTCTGAGGCAATGGAAGCATTTAAAATGATGTATGCCTATAATAAGGGTAAGCCGAGAGAGACATTTCCGGTGAGTAAATTTTAAATATTTCCAATCGTCCCCTAGAAATTAAAAAAAAAAAATATTTATATTTAAGATTAAAACCCTTGTGGAAGAGGTAAAGCAGAAAAGTCAATCGAAAGCCCCAACGACGTGTAGTATATCCACAATTGAAGTTGCTCCGAGTTTGGAAAGTAATGTGGACTCGAAATCCTCTAAAGAACCGAATAAGTTTCGCTTACTATGTTCAAAGAGAAATTTGTGGTTATGCATTGTTGTCTGTTTAATGCAATTTTTTGTTTTACTTGGGTAAGTTAAAGAGTTCGGAATTATTCGAAACGAATTAATATTTTTAATTTCAAGACTAAATACCATGCGTCTTTGGTTGCCACAACTATTTGCATCCCTAAATGAATATGAACATATATCTTCGGAAGCTACCAGTATGTGTACTATTCTGGAATATAGTGTCAATAAAACGGAAATTGTGAAACATGTTGTGGAAGAGTGCAGGGTGGTAAGTATTCTTTAATAAATCCACGCCTCAGTTGGCCCTTGAAAAATATTCTTTAATAAATCCACGCCTCAGTTGGCCCTTGAAAAATATTCTTTAATACATCCACGCCTGAGATGGCCCTTGGAAAAATATTCTTTAATACATCCACGCCTCAGTTGGCCCTTGAAAAAAATATTCTTTAATACATCCACGCCTCAGTTGGCCCTTGAAAAATATTCTTTAATAAATCCACGCCTCAGTTGGCCCTTGAAAAATATTGTTTAATAAATCCACGCCTCAGTTGGCCCTTGTTAAATATTCTTTAATAAATCCACGCCTCAGTTGGCCCTTGAAAAATATTCTTTAATAAATCCACGCCTTAGATGGTCCTTGAAAAAATATTCTTTAATAAATTCACGCCTTAGATGGTCCTTGAAAAAAATATTCTTTAATAAATCCACACCTTAGATGGTCCTTGAAAAAAATATTCTTTAATAAATCCACGCCTTAGATGGTCTTTGAAAAGAATATTCTTTAATAAATCCACGCCTTAGATGGTCCTTGAAAAAAATATTTTTTAATAAATCCACGCCTTAGATGGTCCTTGAAAAAAATATTTTTTAATAAATCCACGCCTTGGTCCTAAAAAATCCAAACCATTAAAAAGGGTCCTTAAAAAACAAATACTAATTTTTCTCAAAAATTTATTTCAGGTCATTACTCCAGCCACATATACCAATAATATTATCGTAGCCTCTGTGGGTTTGGTAACCTATCTGATAGCTGGAAGTCTGGTGAATGCCATTGGCAATAAACAAATGCAAAGTAAATACATCAAAACCCCTATCTTCCTCTATTTCAAACAAAATTGAAATATAATTGTTCCTCTCAGTTATAGGTTTATCTTGTGCCGGTGTATGTGGCATTGGCCTCTATTGGTCCTCGTCTTCGGTGGCCACCTTAATAATATCATCACTGTATGTTGCACTGTGTAGTATGGCAAATACATCAGCTGTTGGTGCTTCGGCAAATTTATTTCCAACTTCATTACTATATTATACAAATTGAAAATCATATTATTATTTTTATACCCTACACAACTATGTTGTCAGGGTATTATAGCTTTGTGCAGCCCCAAAAGTTTGTAACGCCGCGAAATATTGGTCCTAGACCCACCTTTAAGTATACCGATCGTCATATCTTGACTAGCTGAGTCGATCTAGACATGTGTGTCCGTCCGTCCGTCCGTCCGTCCGTCTGTCCATTATAATTTGTAAACACGATACAGGCCACAGTTATGGACCAATCTTCACGAAATTTTGCATGTAGGATGGGTTCTGGCCAATGAAGACCCCTATTGTTTTCGGAAAAGATCGGTTAATATTTAGGGGATGAAATGGACCAAATACTAAATTTTTGTCGGTTTTTCTGGTCGCTCCAGAGGCCGCAATTATGGCCCAAACACCGCGAATTTTTGCATGGAGAAGGGGATCGGGCCAGAGAATAAACATGCATGTTTTGATAAAGATCGGTCAATATTTAGCGGGTCAAAAGGACCCAGACTTTTGTGTGAAAAATGATAAAATTTGTATTCTATGGCATATATATTTACTCCTGGAGGATGAAGACCCCAGGAGTTGATAGCACATCCAAGAGGAGTGGTTGGCCTTTAAATTGATACCAAATATAGTGATGTATCTACTCAGATGTGGGAGTTACAGTCAAATATTTACAGGTGCTTACGTATTCAGATATTATTTAGTAACCCATTACCACATTAGAGGGAGAAATATCGCGCTGATGGCTTTGAAATTTTTCATGAAGTTCCAGTTATGGTCAAGAACAACGCCTATAATTTTCGGTGATGATCAGATTAAAATTTTGGGATGAAATGGAACGAAAACATAATTTTTTGTGTTTTCGAGTAGAGTATAATCCGAAAATCACAACACAACCCACCGTGAAGGTAATCTGGACAAGTAATTAGAAGGACTGTACTGAATATTCGAAAAAAGTAAGGAAGAGGTGTTGTTAACCTCTAATCGGACAAGAGGGGGCAAATATCACGAAATATTACTCAGACTCGGAATAAACATCCTCAGAAAGTTAGAGTTCGTGGTAGTTGTGTAGGGTATCGTATGGTCGGCCCCGTCCGACTATACTGCTCCGCTCCTCAGAAAGTTAGAGTTGTCAGGGTATTATAGCTTTGTGCAGCCCCAAATGTTTGTAACGCCGCGAAATATTGGTCCTAGACCCACCTTTAAGTATACCGATCGTCATATCTCGACTAGCTGAGTCGATCTAGACATGTGTGTCCGTCCGTCCGTCTGTCCATTATAATTTGTAAACACGATACAGGCCACAGTTATGGACCAATCTTCACGAAATTTTGCATGTAGGATGGGTTCTGGCCAATGATGACCCCTATTGTTTTTGGAAAAGATCGGTTAATATTTAGGGGATGAAATGGACCAAATACTAAATTTTTGTCGGTTTTTCTGGTCGCTCCACAGGCCGCAATTATGGCCCAAACACCGCGAATTTTTGCATGGAGAAGGGGATCGGGTCAGAGAATAAGCATGCATGTTTTGATAAAGATCGGTCAATATTTAACGGGTCAAATGGACCCTGACTTTTGTGTGAAAAATGACAAAATTTGTATTCTATGGCATACATATTTACTCCTGGAGGATGTAGACCCCAGGAGTTGATAGCATATCCAAGAGGAGTGGTTGGCCTTTAAATTGATACCAAATATAGTGATGTATCTACTCAAATGTGGGAGTTACAGTCAAATATTTACAGGTGCTTACGTATTCAGATATTATTCAGTAACCCATTACCACATTAGAGGGAGAAATATCGCGCTGATGGCTTTGACATTTTTCATGAAGTTCCAGTTATGGTCAAGAACAACGCCTACAATTTTCGGTGATGATCAGATTAAAATTGGGGATGAAATGGACCAAATACTAAATTTTTGTCGGTTTTTCTGGTCGCTCCACAGGCCGAAATTATGGCCCAAACACCGCGAATTTTTGCATGGAGAAGGGGATCGGGTCAGAGAATAAGCATGCATGTTTTGATAAAGATCGGTCAATATTTAGCGGGTCAAATGGACCCTGACTTTTGTGTGAAAAATGACAAAATTTGTATTCTATGGCATACATATTTACTCCTGGAGGATGTAGACCCCAGGAGTTGATAGTATATCCAAGAGGAGTGGTTGGCCTTTAAATTGATACCAAATATAGTGATGTATCTACTCAAATGTGGGAGTTACAGTCAAATATTTACAGGTGCTTACGTATTCAGATATTATTCAGTAACCCATTACCACATTAGAGGGAGAAATATCGCGCTGATGGCTTTGACATTTTTCATGAAGTTCCAGTTATGGTCAAGAACAACGCCTACAATTTTCGGTGATGATCAGATTAAAATTTTGGGATGAAATGGACCGAAAACATAATTTTTTGTGTGTTTTCGAGTAGAGTATAATCCGAAAATCACAACACAACCCACCGTGAAGGTAATCTGGACAAGTAATTAGAAGGACTGTACTGAATATTCGAAAAAAGTAAGGAAGAGGTGTTGTTAACCTCTAATCGGACAAGAGGGGGCAAATATCACGAAATATTACTCAGACTCGGGATAAACATCCTCAGAAAGTTAGAGTTCGTGGTAGTTGTGTAGGGTATCGCATGGTCGGCCCCGTCCGACTATACTGCTCCGCTCACTGGTTTTAATTTAAATTTGGCATTTTTTATTACAGAACAATAATTGTTTCTATGGCAATGATGCTCGGCCGTATTGGTTCAATATTGGGTAATGTGCTGTTTCCAATATTTATGTCACTGGGTTGTATACCACCGTTTGTTATGGTCGGAGCTGTTTTATTTAGTAAGTTTGTTCTGAAGGTTTATATATTAAAATTGAGAAATGATTTTCTTTTTCAGTTGGTTGCATATTGGCGGCAATATTACCGAATACTAGTAAATTGGAACTTAAATGAATTGTTGTAACGGAAATTAATTTGTTATGAACAAAAAAGTTAAATAAATAAAGAAAAGCAACATGAAACATTTTATGCCTAGGAAAATTCACAGTTATTTTAAGTTCAGTGTGTTTGCCAAATCACCGAATTCGTCATCGAGCTCTGTTTCGTATAGAGAAACATTTCGATCGTGGTAAATTGGATCACCGAATTCGATCGTAATTTATTTTGTCTACAACTTTTTTTTACATAGCTGTAAACATATGACACTAAGAAATTTGAAGAAAAAGATAATGTCAAAATAAGTTTTTGTGATCAAAATATGTTATTTCTTAGAAATTTATATCATTTTTGTGTGTTAAAATATATGTGTACAAATATATTACACATTGTATTATGAAGTGAGTGATTTTAACTTATTGTGGTTTTAACATCCATAGATTTAAAAGACGTTTTCATCTGTCAAGAGAATCATTTAAATATGTTGTTGAATAAATAAATTTGTCTTAGCACATTTCGACATTCTCTTTCTGCTGTGTAATCACTTTGTTGACTTTTTTTTTTTTTTTGAAGCGGATATTAGGGGAATATCTTTTTTTCTTGGTTACCCGGTTATTTGACCAGGAAGTTCGGGTACCGGTACAAGGTTCTACGGACCAGGTTAATATAAAATGGTGTTTATCTGTCCATAGGAAAAAGTCTTAAAACCCCGGCCGAAGGCCGCCCACCCCCGAAACTATTCTATTTAAAAGGATATTCTGTCGCGTAGCCGGTGTAGGTATCTGAGGAAGTCTTAAATCCCCGGCCGAAGGTCGGCCACGCCCAAAATTATACTATTTAAAAAAATAATCTGTCGCGTAGCCGTTGTAGGTATCTGTACATAGTAGGAAGAATTAAATCCCGGGCCGAAGTCCGGCCACTCCCAAAATTATTCTATTTAAAGGAATATTCTGTGGCATAGCCGGAGTAGGTATATGTCCATAGGAGGAAGTCTTAAATCCCGGGCAGAAGGCCGGCCAGCTACAAAAAAACTTTCCTACGTGACAGAATATAGAAAGAATTTCCTTGTTTTTGTAGGGTTCTAAGGCCCATACCTTTTAATCCACAACAAATATAGCAACATATCGCAAACTGTAGTCTATCATTTTAGTCAGGATTGTAGAGGGACCATAATGGACCCAAGTTCGACTTTTAAGGGGTTAAAATCCGTAGAACTTCGAGTAGAAACAATTCGATGCCGAAGTACTCGATTTCGACTGCGGTGATTTGGCCCCAGAAACCACTCGAAACTAATTGGATCGTGTGTGAACTAATAATGTAAGATCGACATGTGACATATCGTGAGATAGAGGCATCCTTGTACATTTTTCAACCAGCATAAATTCGATTATGCATGAACTGCTGGTCATACGATGGATCAAATCGGTCGTGTCGATTGATGCGATGACTTTTTGAAAATAAAAAGAGGTTTTCTAAGTTCGTCGTACATGACTATATAAATATAAGTCTATGGGCACGAAACAAAACTGGGTCTCATGTGACGAATTTCCTCTTGAACTAAGTAGGGCGAAACACCAAAATTTGTGCCGGAAAAAAATGTTGACCGGCCATTGGAATTGGTAGGTTAACCACCATAGATCATCCAATGAATTCTTTAATTACCGCACATCAAGAAAAAATGTTTGCTGAACGATTTTCATAGCAGTAGCGTTCATACCTCATGTTTCAAATGTAGTGGATATGAATATGTCTCAAACGGAGTGGGAAAAGAGTTTCGACGATGGTTGCTTTGATATTGACACGTTATTGGGAATATCTAAAGAGGTGGACCAAAGGTGGCCTCTTTTCAATTAACTTCAAATAAAATTTACGTATCATATCATGACATAATAAGGTTTGGTAAAATTCGATATTGCGAAGTTTGTGGGAAACAAAAAATTTTTAATCCTATGGTGTAAATTCTGGGAAACCTTGATTCGGAAAGACGCGGCAGAGGACCTGCTGGACACTAATCAGTCAAGAGAGTACAAATATTGCGAAATATTTCCCAGGCTCGGAATAGAGATTCGTAGAAACTAAGAGCTCAAAAAAATATATGGGAGCTATATCTAAATCTGAACCGATTTTCACGAAACCTTTATATAGGGAGATATACCTAAATCGGAACCGATTTTCAAGAAATTTTACACACTTCATTCTAGACTCATGTCAATTCGCTATGCCAAATTTCGTGGAAATCGAAAGATACATAGGGACTATGGTACACCATTTACATTAAATCGGACGAAAATATATATATAAATAAATATATATATATAAATCTGAACCGATTTTTCCCAATTTCAATTGGGTTCGTCCTTGGGCCAAATAGACGAGCTGTGCCAAATTTCATCCAATTCGGATCATAAATGCGACCTGTACTTTGTTTACAATTTAACATGGACAAACAGACATGCATAAATCGTCTCAGAAAAACTAATTTATAGACTCCAAGTCTTAATTTGCTCTCAGAAAAGATATTTTAATAACTCCACGCCTTAATGGGCCCTCAGAAAAATATGATCTAAAAAATCAACGTCTTAATGGGCTCTCGGAAAAATATTATTTAAGAAATTCACGCTTTAATAGGCTCTCGGATACTATTTTCTAAAAAATACACGCTTTAACACGCTCTCGGAAAATAATATTTAAAAAAGCCACGGCTTAATGAGCTATCAGAAAAATGCTATTTAAAAATCCACGTTTTAATGGGCTTTGGGAAAAATATTGTTTTAAAATCCACGATTTTTTAATTATTCTTTCTGCGATCCCATTAAGGCTTGGCTTTTTTTAAATTGTTTGTCTCCTGAGAGCCCATTAAGGCGTGGATTTTTTACAACGTTGTGTGGTTAATTTCGTGAAAATCGGTTCAGATTTATATACAGCTCCTATATATACTTTCGTCCGATTTAATGTAAATGGTGTACCAAAGTCCCTATATACCATTCGATTCACACAAAATTTGGCATAGCGTGCCGAATTAAGTCCCGAATGATGTGTAATTGTTTTTGTATAAATTCAGACATAGCCCATATATATTTTCGATCGGCTTCATGTCTGTCATCGGTTTCAAAAAAATCAACGAGTATCCGATTGAGATTTGCTTTAAATCTATCCATCCAAATGAAGAGTTTAGTATAGGTTAGAATAGAATATAAACTAAAAATTATTTTGCTAAAAATACAAACACACACACTAGCAACGTTGTAAAGTCAATGGCATGATTTTTTTACAATGCAATAAAAGGTATGAAAGTTAATAAAACGCTGGATAAGAAAGATATTAGGCGAACTGGAAAAAATATGCCATTTACATCAGTTAGATAGAAAACGGTAGCTAAAACAGTTCAAAATCCAGAAATCTGCGGCAATCAAAAGAAACTATTATTATCTTAACAATGTAATTTACTTCACAACAACAGAATTAAACCAGTGAGCGGAGCAGTATAGTCGGACGGGGCCGACCATACGATACCCTACACAACTACCACGAACTCTAACTTTCTGAGGATGTTTATTCCGAGTCTGAGTAATATTTCATGATATTTGCCCCCTCTTGTCCGATTAGAGGTCAACAACACCTCTTCCTTACTTTTTTCGAATATTCAGTACAGTCCTTCTAATTACTTGTCCAGATTACCTTCACGGTGGGTTGTGTTGTGATTTTCGGATTATTCTCGACTCGAAAACACACAAAAAATTAAGTTTTCGGTCCATTTCATCCCAAAATTTTAATCTGATCATCATCGAAAATTGTAGGCGTTGTTCTTGACCATAACTGGAACTTCATGACAAATTTCAAAGCCATCAGCGCGATATTTCCCCCTCTAATGTGGTAATGGGTTACTAAATAATATCTGAATACGTAAGCACCTGTAAATATTTGACTGTAACTCCCACATCTGAGTAGATACATCACTATATTTGGTATCAATTTAAAGGCCAACCACTCCTCTTAGATATGCTATCAACTCCTCGGGTCTACATCCTCCAGGAGTAAATATATATGCCATAGAATACAAATTTTGTCATTTTTCACACAAAAGTCAGGGTCCATTTGACCCGCTAAATATTGACCGATCTTTATCAAAACATGCATGCTTATTCTCTGGCCCGATCCCCTTCTCCATGCAAAAATTCGCAGTGTTTAGGCCATAATTGCGGCCTCTGGAGCGACCAGAAAAACCGACAAAAATAATGTTTTTGGTCCATTTCATCCCCTAAATATTAACCGATCTTTTCCAAAAACAATAGGGGTCTTCATTGGCCAGAACCCATCCTACATGCAAAATTTCGTGAAGATTGGTCCATAACTGTGGCCTGTATCGTGTTTACAAATTATAATGGACAGACGGACGGACGGACGGACGGACGGACGGACACACATGTCTAGATCGATTCAGCTAGTCGAGATATGACGATCGGTATACTTAAAGGTATGTCTAGGACCAATATTTCGCGGCGTTACAAACATTTGGGGCTGCACAAAGCTATAATACCCTGACAACATAGTTGTGTAGGGTATAAAAAGAAACAAAAATGGCGTCCATACCAAATACTCCCGTAACGATGGAAAATGCTCCAAAAAGTAATAGTTATTATTATTAAAAAAATGAATTATTAAAAAATAAATAAATTCAATTTTTCCCAAAGTATATCCCACCAAAAAACTTAATGGTTATGACCTTGATTTTGAAACACCAGCCGATTATGAGACCGCCATAAAGGTATGTGGTTTTGGGCGATTCAACATTATCCTACTTCTGGCCGCCATACCAGCCACTATGGGAACAGTATTTGAAACTGCTGTAGTATCATTTATTCTACCCAGTGCCGAATGTGATTTGAATTTAGATTTAGTTGATAAGGGCATATTGAATGGCAGCACTTATGGAGGTAAAGTCTGAATAAAGATAATCCTAATTTATTTTTTAAATAAAATTATTTGTATGAATTTTCATTGTATAGGTATGATTGTATCTGCCGTTGCATGGGGTTATCTATCCGACACCAAGGGTCGTAAGAATTTACTTATCTGGGGATTTCTAATCGATGCGATATGTGCTATCTGTGCAGCGATATCTCAAAGTATTCTACAACTGATGCTGGCAAAATTTTTTGGCGGATTTATGTAAGTAAATTGTTGACGGAAATTGTTGAGGGGGGAAATGCATTTCAATATTTTCCACAATCCCCGAAAATATGTCCAATAACACATAGAAAATCATGAATAATAATCTAGCCTTTACCATCAGGTGGAGCGTATATGGGAAATTACAAAATTCTTTTAAAATTCCATTAAAAAAATTTGAAAATTTTTTTTGCGAGCACATTTATGATTTTTGGTACATAGGTTAAGAAAAATATGCTGATTCGAAATCTGTTCGCGTTCACAAATTCGGATGCTGCGCACAAAAGTTATAGCGGTTTTAAATCTTGTATTTCAAATTTAAATTAAATAGATTTCTATTCGTTGTAATTCGCGAATTTCTTCACAAATGCTTAAACACCATTGTTTTTTTTTGCATACTAGTCAAATCACACTGAAATACGGTTTAATAGTCGCGAAAAACAAATAGAAACATGCATATATCGGAAAATAAAATAAATTAATTTTTGAATTAAAACAATTTTTTTTTTTTTTTTGAATTTTCAATTTTTTTAGTATGGTTAAGAGGATACGGTTTTGCCTTAATCTTCTAAAATATACGACGCTTTCTTCTGCAAATTCTTTTAGATGATTGTTAAATATCGGTAGATTCATCTGATAAGAGTTTCGACGTCATTAATGGCTAAATATATTGCACTTACAATATATAAAAATGATCAATATTGAAAAGCTTGCAATTCGCGAATTAGTTGAAATCAGTTGATGCGCATGCGATTTTCGTATAAACCGAATCAATGTCTTTCAATAATTATGGATTTTTCGATGTTTAATATAGCGGTCAAAGTGTGCCACTCGATGCACTTTACTATGCAAAAACCCTAAAAATGGCTAAAAATCACGCAACGTGCATAGGATTTTTATGCGCATCCGATTTCAGTAATCTCCTATGAAAATACACAAAAGGACACCTATTTTAAAAGGATCGGTTAAGAACCGCGGATGTGCCTCCACAATCAATTTTGGATAAAATACGCATATTATTCGCGTATCGATGTATTTTTGACCTATTTCCACACAGTTTCGCGAATTTGACAATACAAGCATAAATGCATGTAAAATTAATTCGAAGAAAACCGCGATTATTTACGCGAATTTGTCAAAATAAGTTTTTGCAGTTTTTCCCACATTCAAGGTACCTATATCCGCCGTTTTATTGGGCGGAATTGAACATGGATGGGCTCATTAGATCCGGCACGAAAAAAAACTAAAATCACGCGGGGTTCCACGGAATTTGAATGGACTTTCTTAATTCTAGACTCAAAAAATATGTTTTTTATAAAAATTTACGCACCAAATTTTCATCTTTGGCACCCAATTGCAAAGAAGCTACAGTGAGCACATTCATGAGATATACACTAAACGAAGCAGAATCACGAGTTCTACAATCCTATAATTAGTTTATTCTATTATCTGGATGCGCATCCAAATTATAAGAAAAATTCAAAAAACACCGAAAATCCGGCTTCAAAATGTCAGCATCCATTTTGGGTGGATGCAGTGATTATATCGAAAAATCATACATTAGAACCATATTGTCCATGGGGTATTCTGCAACTTAGTCACTGATCACATGTGCGTGCGTTGTGTAGTTTAGCCACAAATCGGGAACGAACACAAAAAAACTCGTTGGCTTCAACACATTTTCACCCATTTTTTTTACATTACCACCATCACAGCTTCCACGCAACTTATTATTTATTACCAAATTTTTTAAGATTTTGACAAGAACACTTCATTTTATAGAATTGAATTTAAATTATATGCAATATGTTCATATTTCGCGAGTTATAACCTTGCAAACCTCAGCTTCAAGGAATTTAAAAGATTTTTGTAATTTCCCATATATCAATTTGTCATTCTGTTTGCAACATCTGAAAAGATTCATCGGAGACCACACAAAAAATATATATTCTAAATTTGAATTAAAATCTATGACGAATTCAAATCTACAGGAGCAGAGCTGAATGCTACCGAACGCGTTCACAGGTTGCAAATAGCCACGGACAATCAGTGGGTCCTGGGGGAGAGTCTCGTAGCAAATGAAAGAGTGCATATGGTCTCAGGACTGACGAGGTGGGAATGGCCCTCCAAATATCCAATTGTCAGGTCACGCCTTTCCTGAGTGACCTCCCAAAGGCCAGGGGTGCTAGGTGACTTGGGCCCATCGGTGTTTACGGTTTGCTGGTCAGGGTCCCTACTGTATTCGAACGGAGTCCTGTTGATACCTGGGCGACTTAACAAGTTTTTCGAGCTTAGTTGCCGAGTTCTCACTTAACAAAACTTCTATGAAGCTGACTTTTAAAATCCCACCCCCCTTCAAAAAATATAAATGTTACAGATTGCAATTTTTTCACTTGTTGTTGTAGCTGTCTTGGCACCCTCTGTCTCGAACTCCACAAGGTCAGAGAAAAAGCTTATCAAACGATGACGACCAATGCTAACCTACTGGATCATTATTTTCTTTAATTGAAGCCGATTGCTCTCGATGACGGCAATCCTAAAAAAGGACCTTTTTCTCGACCTTATTGAGGAAACCGGCTCCCTCCGCCTTATTCAGGAGGGTATGCCGAAGAAGCAAAAGAGGATGAAGATCCAAACTCCATCTCCACGATATTTAGAAAAGTCTCGGACTTTTGAGGCAGTTGGCATTAGAGATTGCTGATGACTCTCCCATCGAAACGATGGACAAATCACACACATAAGAAACTGCCAAACACAGAAACGCCAATGATTCGATCACTGACAAGGAATTCCTTCAAATTAAGAGGAATATACAAATTCAATTTGAAGTTTTTGCGGAACTATCAGAATGATATTGCGAGTGACTTCTTAATAGATAAAATTCTTACGTCACCTGCGCAGTCGTAACTAACGAAAGAGCACTGGTATGTCCAATAACTACTGACTTTACCCCTAACTTGTTCGTAGCAACCTGCATCGTCCCCGAAAGGTGCAAAAGGCGTGACAAGGACTTCATCAGAGGTGAATAGCACAGCACGGTCTCATCCCGAACCTAGGGAAATTTTTGGAGACAATAGATAAATCAAACTACTTACAAACCAACAATTCTGCGGATCACAAAAGACGCGTCCCAACAAATGCTTATATCGAAGCAATTTATGCAAATGCGTATTTAAACCTCCAAGTCCCCGGAATGTCGAAGTACGGTGGGAAAATTAAACTAAAAATTTCTGTAACCTTGAATGATAGGAGACAGCGCCACCCAGTAATCGAAAAACCATGAGATAATCTCGATATTATCTCCCTTGATATTAGAGTCCTGGGGTGGTGTCCATGAATATAAGTACCACGCAATGGACAAGTATTCGGAGTTACCAAAACGCCAAATCACGTTACGCACAGTAATATATTCAATGGCCTGATTGAGACCTCGAGACATATAGAATGGACCTTCTTGAGTTGTGTTCTTAATTTTTTTTAAATTTTGATGATTTGTCCGATGTAGCTTCTTCTAAGTGATGGGGCTTCCATCTATCGTCACATAGATACATCACCTTCTTGAATTACGTGCAATGGTTATGGCTCTTGCTAATTTAAGTCTTGGTATTTTCCTCTGGGTGGCGCTATTTCCTGCCATACATATTTTGTGTTGGTGCCAATGTTGGTTATTAGATTGTCAGAGAGCTTTAAATTTACTTCATTTTTAAATATTCGAAAATCACTTTGAAAGGATTTTTCCTCCTCTGCTGGAATGCACTGCGCCACTATCTTTATTAATGAATATGCAGAAGTTATATACTCTGCACTTTTTTCAAATCTATTGATTTCCTATAACATCTGACAATGGTTCTTTTATTATTATCTAGTTGGTCCAATATTCTTTTTACTCTGTCATTCATTCATAAGTTATCATCATATTTTCTTCATTTTTTCAGAATTTGTGGACCATTTGCTATTCTAATTTCGTATTTATCTGAATTTCATGGCACCAATCGTCGCCCACAGGTGATGATGATTATTGGCACTATGTTTATGATATCAAATATTATATTACCGATATTGGCAATGACGATACTGCCCAAAGATTGGAGTTTTCAAATATTCAATATGAAATGTAAGTTGAAGTCCTTTAAAAGCAATAACTTTTTTAAAATATTTTCTTATCAGTTGTTTCTTGGAAAATATTCATTGCCATTTGTGGAATACCCAGTTTGTCGGGTAGTCTACTTTTGTGTCTTCTACCCGAAAGTCCACGTTTTCTAATGTCAAAGGGAAGAAATTCTGAGGCAATGGAAGCATTTAAAATGATGTATGCCTATAATAAGGGTAAACCGAGGGAGACGTTTCCGGTGAGTTACATTCAAATAATTTCAATCGCCCCTAGAATTTTCAAAAATCTTAAATATAAGATTAAAAGTCTTATGGAAGAAGTAAAGCAGAAAAGTCAATCGAAATCCTCGACTCCACGTAATATATCTACAATAGAAGTTGCTCAGAATTTGGAAAGTAATGTGGACTTGAAATGCCCTAAAGAACCGAACAAGTTTCGCTTACTCTGTTCAAAGAGAAATTTGTGGTTATGCATTGTTGTCTGTTTAATGCAATTTTTTGTTTTAATTGGGTAAGTTCGCAATTTTTCGACTATTTGAAAATTATTACAAAATTAATATTTTCATGTCAAGTTTAAATACTATGCGTCTTTGGTTGCCACAAATATTTGCATCCCTTAAGGAATATGAATATATATCTTCGGAAGCTACCAGTATGTGTACGATTTTAGAATATAGTGTCAATAAAACTGAAATTGTTAAAAATGTTGTGGAGGAGTGTGTGGTGGTAAGTAGAAATGTGTAATGATTTAAATAAAAATATTCGTTAGGGTCTAATTTTATTTTATTTCAGGTCATAAATCAAGCCACATATACCAATAATATTGTTGTGGCCTCTGTAGGTTTGGTTACCTATCTGATAGCTGGAAGTCTGGTGAATGTCATTGGCAATAAACAAATGCAAAGTAAATACCAAAATCCAATACATCCTATTACAAGAAAATAAATAAAACTCTATATTTTTTTCAGTTATTGGTTTATCATGTGCCGGTGTCTGCGGTATTTGCCTCTATTGGTCATCATCTTCGGTGGCCACCTTAATAATATCATCGTTGTATGTGGCACTGTGTGGTATGGCAAATACATCAGCTGTTGGTGCTTCGGCAAATTTATTCCCTACTTGTTTAAGGTAAATTATGTATAATGCTATAATAAAATGAATTATTAAAAATATTTGGGAATAATTTTTATTAAAAAAAAAAATAATTCGGAATTCGTTTTTTTTTTTAATTTTTTATGCAGGACACTAATTGTTTCAATGGCAATGATGGTTGGCCGTATTGGTTCGTTATTGGGTAATGTCTTGTTTCCAATATTTATGTCATTTGGTTGTATACCCCCATTTGTTATGGTCGGAGCTGTTTTATTTAGTAAGTTTATACTGAAGGATCTGCTATATATTAAAATTGGCAATATATTTTCTTTTTCAGTTGGTTGCATATGTGCGGCAATATTACCAAACACTAGTAAATTGGAACTTAAATGATTTTTTATAATATAGATAAATTTGTTATGAAATAAAAAATGAATGAAATAAATACAAGAAAAATTTTATGTATAGGGAAATACAATGGGTTGTGATCATGTTTAAACTGATAATGTAAGATCGCCATGTGAGATAAAGGGTATCCTTTAACATTTTTTCCACCAGTATAAATTCGAATTTGCATGAACTTTCATGCTTTCAATGGATATAATGTGTCGTGTTGATTGATCCGATGAAAACTTGAAACTATACCATCGGGCTGCTTAAAAAGAGGTTTATAATTTCTTCATAGTTGACGAATAATAAATCTAATTGTATGGACAGGAAACAAAAAAAAAAAAAACTATCGTCCATGTGTGGCTTTAAAAAAGAATCAAGTCTTTGATGACGTAGGGCGGTCAACTGTGAGCGGCACACCATATTTGTTTCGAGGGGTGGCCTCCCATAAATTAACTTCATATACAATTTACCAATATTCATCAAAGTCTAGAATAAATTGAGAACTCATAATATTAAATTTTGATTTTTTGTGAATTAGGTTGGTCGGACTTAATTTACATTCTTCGAGTATTATCTTCCCCGCCAGGTGAATTCGGACCAAAGACACTTGAGGTTTAAAATTCTTATTGTGATGAAAAGGCTACTATGTATATGTATGTAAAATGAGGTGTATTCAGTTTTTTGCAGTCTGTTTAGGTTCAAATATGGCGCTCATATATTTTCGACCGATTCCATACAAATATATAATTTAATCAATTTATATAAATGGAACACCAAGGTTTCTAAGTATGCCATGAAGTTTAGCATCCCGAAATTTTGCATGTAGGACGGATTCTGGTCAAAGAAGAGCGCTATTGTTGTTGATAATGTTCGGTTAATATTTGGTAGATAAAATGGATCAAAAAAAGAAAAATATATCGTGTTGGTTTTTTTCAGTTTTAAATCGGCTAATGCAAAATTCGTTATGAAATAAATGGTAATTTATGGATAAGGAAATTGTCTCATTTTTTGCTTGGACAAAGCTAATGCAATTCTACAGTACAAACAGATGAGCCCTAAAATTTAATCTGCGGAAATCATTTATCACAGAAAATGATTTCGGAGAAATATTCCATGAATAAATCTGTGAATTCTCGGATTATAAGATTTTATATAACTATATCAGTAGTGACAGTTCAGCATGGAGAAATACTGTAAGAGAACATAAGTTCGTACTGTTCAACAAATTATCATATCAGTAAAAAAATACCCATTTAATAGTACGTTTACATTGTACTGGATTTAGTTAACCCAGTGGGTTTAAATTGTAAATTCCATTGAATATATAAATCCCTATAAATTACAAAATGGCGATTATTCGCTTTACTTGCCACGTGTTTTATCGAACTAAACGAAAAATATAAGAAAATCTCGTTCATATGGTGTATGGTCCTATACCTTCTATTCTAATAGAAAGTGGACTAGCTGGAGGAGGACCTGCCTCCAGTTTTCAAAGAGATAACAAGTACGAAGCTTATAATTCTCGATGATGGTCAGATGATATTTCGTGGATGGAATGGACCGAAATGACACAATTATCAGCCAAACATTGCAAATTTTCTATGTGGAAGCCGAATGTCTGCTGTGATATTGATCGGTCAGTATGTAGCAAGTCAACTGGAGTAAGACTTTTGTGTATAAAATAAAAAAAAAAACGTTGAATCTTAACTTTGCTGTTGAACTCTAATCGGTCAAGAGATTGAAAATATAACGAAATATTTCCCAATCCTGGTATATAGATCTGCAGAAACTTAGAGCTCAGTGGTACTGGTGTATGGTATCATATGGTCACTACAAATTTTTACCATTTTTTCCGATATCATAAAGGAAAATGTGTAAAAGTTTACATACCATTTTAATGGGATTTCAGGTGAATATTTCGAGGTGTTAGAAACTGAACATTAGCTTTAAAGAAGATAGTATAAATTGTGTTACTTTGCCGATGTTATATTAATGAATCTCTGCATTTGGGATATATTTTTTTATAATTATAAATAATGCCTTGGTAAACCTAATAATCAGCTATTGGTAATTAAACGGGGTTTAATATAACTCTGTTTATATTGTGCAAACGTCAAACTTTTACTGATGGGTCCAATGGATCTTCTACAATTTGTATGTCGATAAACACTTCATCATAAGGTGAGGGGAGTAAAAAAATATTGCCGCTGCCAACACAACATGCCGTTGACGGAAAGCTCCCAATGTTCCAAAAAAATATTATGTTGCAAGTGTCATTATCATATACGAGTATATTTGTATGTTTGTTTTATAATGAGTTCTAGGTTCTCAGAAATCAATGCTACCACGCACTCCTTCGTCTTCGATTAGATTTCAAACATAATGAGTTGTTTACATTATCAGCAGCTCTTCAGCGGTGTGTTCGAATTGAATGGAGAACATCTTTGCTGTATTTGCCAAAGATAAAATTGGTGACAAGAAAACAAAACAAATACGACATTTAGAATACCAGAATTGGAAATCATTAACAAAACAGTCGTCAATGATATCAACAGGAAAGTGTTATTCGGAAATAAACTGAGGTGCTACAATTTAATAACTGAATTGAAAATATACCTTCAAAATGGATTGTGAAGGAAAATGTAAGCAGGCTAAAGGCTGATCAAAAATCTTAATAAACAATATTGATTTCGATTTTTTGCAGTTTCCTATATTGCAGATTTTTTTGAGAAACCCCAAACCGTTAAGGATGAAAGGAGTCCTCCACCTCCGCCACCTGCATCCAAACATCCAGCGGATTATGAAACGGCCATAAAAGCAACAGGATTTGGCCGTTTTAATATACTTTTGCTACTGGCAACATTTCCAGCCATGATGGCGGGGGTTATTGAAACAGCAGTAATCTCATTTATATTGCCCAGTGCGGAATGTGACCTAGACTTGAGCCTAATGGATAAGGGCATTTTGAATGCCATCACATCATGTGGTAGGCACTTAAAGGATATAATTCTATGACTTGAATTTAAATTTCGATTTGTTTTTCTAGGAATGATTGTATCTTCCCTGGGTTGGGGTTATCTAGCCGATACCAAGGGACGCAAAGGCATTATGGTATGGGGCTGTTTGTCGAATGTCATATTTATTCTATGGTCGGCAATGAGTCAAAGTCGAATTCAGCTGATGATTGCGAAATTCTTTTCGGGCTTTATGTGAGTAAAAAAATGGTTTACACTATGCAATAAAATTCCTTATGGGGACGAAAGCTCTTGGGGAATATTAAAAACCCAGATGGAAAAATTAACTATAGGTGGGTTGAGGCGTTGAAAAAGCAACGAAAAAGAAATCTAAATGATTACGTCCTATATTGTAGCTGCCATGAAACGAGACATCGTTAATAGGAGAATAAAAGACCTCGTCTCCAGATTCACTCCAGTAGATGAGATGAATTGCTATAATCCGTATAAAAGCGAAGTTCTTCTACATCAGTCTTATTAGCGTCCATGCTCCGACGAAAGACAAAGGTGAAAATTCAAAAACATATTTTACGTGCGCCTAGAAACAGCATATGAGTGCTGCACTACCGTCGAAAAATTCAACCTCCATGAAAAACATCCAACAACGGCATGAGGTTGATTGACTTCGCGGCAGCAAAAAAAATGGTAGTTGACAGCACCAGATTCAAGCATCTCGATATACACAAGACCACCTTGATTTCTCCTCATCAAGCAACGAGAATTGATCATGTTGCGATAGACGGAAGGCATTCATCCAGTGTTTTAGACGTTCGATCGATACGAGGAGCGAATATCGATTCGGACCATTACTTTGTGGCAGCCAAGGTTCGCACGCGCCTTAATGTAGCAGCAAAGGTGCGATCTAATGTAACACGGAAACTCGACGTCGAAAAGCTGCAAACACAAAAGATAGCAGAAGCCTAATCCGCACAAGTTACCCATTTGCTTGACGAATACACTTTATGTCCCGATAATAATATAGAAGCACAATGGCAACGTTTTTGCTCACTCCCTACAAACTGCAACAAAAGCAACACTTGGGTACCAAAAACCACCATCAAGAAACCCGTGATACGATACGGAGTGCCGTAATGGTACTGATGTAAAAACACAGGGCAACCCTGCAGTAGATACAAGTAATGCGATGGAGAATTATCGGGTGAAAAAAGGAGAGAGGAGAAACGTATTTTCAGAAAAAAAAGAACAAGAAAAACGTAAGCGTAAGGAAATTGAGATGTACAGGAATCAGAACGAAGCCCGGAAATTTTACCAACGAGTAAAATACACAACCGATGGCTTTGGTGCAGGTACATCCTTCTGTAGAGATGAAGATGGAAACATGGTGACATATACATATAGCGTTTTGAGGATCTGGAAGGCGCATTTTAAATAGCTTCTCGTATCAAATAGTGGCGATGAAGAAGATGCTCCAGAACAAATATGAGATGACGGTATAGAGTGTATACCACCTAGCCAAAATGAGGTCAGAGTATCAATTAATCGACTGAAGAACAATAAAGCAGCTGGTCCCGATGGATTACCAACCGAACTATTCAAGTCTGGTGGTCAGGTGCTGGTCAGGAGCATGCACCAGCTGTTTAGTATAATTTGGCTACCGGGACGCATGCCCAATGATTGGAACCTCAGCATCCTGTGCACAAAAAAGGAGACAAGACGATATATGCCAACTATGGAGGCATTCGTCTTCTTTCCATCACAAATAAAGTGCTATCCAACGTGCTGTGTGAAGCCAATGATCAATGACATTATTGAACCATACCAATGCGGCTTCAGGCCTTGCAAATCCACCATTGACTAGATTTTCACTCTGCGCCAGATCCTGGAAAAACCCCACGAAAAACACATCGACACATTCCAACTATTCGTCGACTATAAAGCTACATTCGACAGCCCTATTCGTTCGGAGGTATTTAAAACCATGTCTGCGTTTGTCATTCCTGCAAAATTAATACGGCTATGCAGAATAACTTTAACTGGTACCATGTCAGCAGTTAAAGTAGGAAATGACCTCGCGGAGCCCTTCAATACCGAACGAGGATTCAGACATGGTGACAGTTCGAGTCAGTCATACGATGACAGAAATAGCACTATGTTCACCAAACAGCATATGTTACTAAGCCGACATTGTGAGCGGTAACATCCACCTTTGTCTGTTTAGTATTTCATTGTTTGCATTGGTGTTATAAAATTCGCTTATGTATTTTCAATAAATATATGTGAATATTCATGATTATAATAAATATATTTGTTTTCTTTTCTATGGCGAATTTGTCCTTCAAGGTTCTCAATATAATCGTCAATTAATTTTGCCCCCCAATTTTTGTTTCACAGCATTATTTAAAAAATACATTTTGTTTTCTTTTCCAGAATTTGTGGCCCCTTTTCGGTGCTTGTACCCTATATAACCGAATTCCATGGTTGTGATTATCGTTCTCGCATTATGATGATTTTTGGAACATTGATTTCAGCTGCTGCCATTATGTTACCCGTCATGGCCCTATTGATCTTGCCAAATGATTGGAATTTTGCATTTTGGAATATGGAATGTAAGTATATAGTTAGTCCCGACCTGTATGTCATTGTAAAATGCTATTATAAGAAAACGAAATACCAAACTGCTAGGTCTTTATATGAGGCTATGCAGAAAAATGAAATTATATTGAAAATGTTCTGTAAAGAAATTGTTCCTATAGCAACTTCATAATACAAACATGTATGTAGTGTAAATGAGCCTAGGACCATAAAAATACTTCTCTGCCGGGGTTGGTTCTAATAACCGAAATACAATACAAATATGTAAGTAGGATAAACATCCTCATGACAGCCATGTTTAACATATTGTATTTGGCATTTATATCAAAATAATTTGGAAAACGCATATGCGAATTTTATAACACCAATGCAGATGTAGATAGCAAAGCATGAAATAATGAAACATTGGAATGCCAAACTAATCACAAATGAGTGAGTGAGAAACAATTACAAAACTAACACTAACAAAACACAGCCGAACAACGAATGGTTAATACTGGTAAAGTAAAGCGAAGTAGGAAAATAGTATTGAGATTAATGTAATATTTACATTACAAAACAAATCGTCCAACTTTTTTCACTTGTTTTCTTTTCTTATTTTTAAACAGTTAACTCATGGAGAATATATTTGGCCGTGTGTGGTATACCATGCCTTTTGGGCGGTCTAATATTATTAGCATTTCCAGAAACACCACGTTTTCTAATGACCAAGGGCAAGAATGAAGAAGCTTTGGAAGTTTTCAAAACCATGTACTCAATGAACACAAAATGTCCCAAAGAAACATATCCGGTATGAGCCATCAATATTAATTTATAAATATTCAATTTTCTATAACAATTTCTTTATAGATTTCCAAACTTCAAAATGATTTCAAGACCCAAAACACAAAACATGATAATGTGGAAGTTACAGGTATCACAGAAATAAATGTGACTGAAAAAGTTTCTCTAGAAGAAAATCAAAGAGGACCATTTCAACTTTTATTCTCACAACCCTTTATAAGTTTGACAATTCGTGTATTTCTATTGAAATTTTTTATGTTGTTGGGGTAAGGAAAAACGTTTTTTACTTCAAAGAAATTCCTAACGAAAATCTTAATTTTTAAAATGTTACAGAAAAAATACCTTGCGCTTATGGTTGCCCCAGTTGTTTGCCTCACTAAATGAATACAAACAAATTTCATCTGATGTCACCAGTCTCTGTACAATATTGGAATATAGTGTCAATAAAACAGAGATTACAACAAATCCCCAAGAAGTCTGCACAGTGGTAGGAGTATTACACGTTCTTTTTTAATTGAGAGGATAATTATTTTCAAATGTTTCCTAAATTTTATAGATCATAACTCCTTCAACATATACCAATAATATTGTGGTGAGCTGTGTTGTTTGTGTGGCGTTTATAGCTGCAGGAACTCTTATTAATAAGGTGGGAGACAAGATAATGCAAGGTGAGTATTTCAAATATAACCATAACTGATTTAATTTGTATCAATAATTCATATTATTATTAGTAAAACTATTAAAAGAGAAAAAATAAAATATAGTCTCAGAGTATAAGTGTATATAAAAACATGTAAACTCTGAGACTATATTCTATTTTTTCTCTTTTAATAGTTTTACTAATAATAATATAGAATATAGTCTCAGAGTATAAATGTATATAAAAACATGTAAAAATGCAATATATAGTTCGAAGGGACGAACTTAATTCGTATATTATATGAATAGTGTTCAGAAAGTGTCGCCAATGTCGGTATTTCTGCATTTCCTTAATTCACAAAAACTTTCAACTAAAAACTTTCAATTCATAAAACTTTCAATACTGTTTTATTTGTCAAAGAGAATGAAAAAACAATTTTGGATTATGTGTGTGTTTGGTGGTGGTGGAGTTTCTTTGGCATAGCAATTCTTTGCCGTTTTAATTTTTATATTTATATTTTTATATTTATATTTTTATATTTATATTTTTATATTTATATTTTAAAAGTTCATATTCTGCGTCATTAGAACAACCATATACAATGTTAAACATTCGGTTGGGCTTGTCGTTCATATCAACCCTTGTTTGATATAATGTATTTAGCATTTATATCGAAATAACTTGGAAAATACATATGCGAATTTTGTAACACCAATGCAGAGGTCGGTAAGAGTGTCAGAAGTAAACAATGGAATGCATTGTTGCCCCAATCGAGTGAGTGGAAAGTCAGCGGTTATTAGCAACAGAAATATTAGTCAAGTAAACGATTAGGAACAATACTATTCCTTTTGTCAAAGAGAGGAAGAGAGAGGAAAATAAGCGGAAATAGTGGTAAAGTAGGAAAATAGTTGTGATATTAATGCAATTTTTATATTTTTTGGTAAAAGTAACGACTTTCTCGAAGCGAAGTAAATTTACAATATGGAAAAAATTAACTATGAATGAAATTATGTAAATATTCATTAAATTTTTTTCTGTCTTCCCTCCGCCATAAGCTAGATATTCAAAAGTATTAAAATCAAGCGGGGCGAAAATGAAATTTCAAACTACAAACCCTAAGGTTCGAAATTTGGGCTAGAGCCTTGAACATATCCAAGATGTCGCATGACCTTTGAAAGGGGCTATGTAGAAACATGTATTTATATTGGAAATGTTTTGTTAGGTAGTTGTTTACCCACCAAAGCCCCAAAATGGTGAATAACATCCACTTATTAATGCATATGTCCATCCAAATGTATATAAAGACGTTTGATTGATATTTCTAATTGTTCATAGGAACATTTGCTAACCAATAAAAAGAAAAAATCAAATTAGAACAATTCTCGTGGAAAATGTTTAAAATCATGAAAAACGTGAAACTTAGGCGTACCACTGATTATATGGGGAATGTATCGATCATGAATCGATGAAAATGATGTGTCACCCAATGATAATCTAAACTATATAATTACAGTTAAAAATACCAACATCTTGCTCTCTCAGGAGCTAAAAATCGACCATAAAACTGTTTTAAACCATTTACACAAAACTGGATTTAAAGAGAAGCTCGATGTTTGGGTGCCACACCAATTAACAGAAAAAATAGGATGGATCCAATTTCCATCTGAGAAGCCTTGCATTGCAAAATTTCTTTAATGATAAAAAATTTGTATCTAGGGAGGATTGTGAAAATCAACTACTCCATAGAACAGGACTGCAGGACTTGAAGTTACTTAAAATGACAACAGAACGGTGCATATTTGGCCCAAATCGGACATTTCCGAAATCTAATATTTGAGCCATAAGGGTGGACTTTAAAGATATATAGTATATAGTAGATTCTTGCAGTACGAGACCAATAACTTTTTTTTATAAATACATTTCTTTAACATATTTTCAGTTTTTACCTTATCGATTTGTGGTATCTGTGGACTTACACTATACTGGTCATCGTCTACGACAACAACGCTAATTATTACTTCAACTTATATTAGTATGGGTACCATTGCAATGACAGCATTAATTGGAACTTGTGTGAATTTATTTCCAACATCATCCAGGTAGTACAATTTTTTACAAAATTATTTTAATATGTAGATATATTAAAAAATACTGTTTATTTTCGAATTTAGAACAATAATTGTATCCGCATCAATGTCGTGTGGTCTCATTGGCACCATATTGGGTAATGTTTTATTTCCGATATTCATGTCGCTGGGTTGTATACCGCCAATTGCTATGCTTGGTGGCGTAATGTTTTGTGAGTTGATTAAAATATTTTAAAATTTGTAATAATTGATATTATTATTGTTATAAAAATGTATTTTTATATTTTTCTTTTACATTTTACAGTCTCCGCAATATTGGCCTACTCTCTGCCTAGTACTAAGAAAACGGAACTTAAATAAGTATAATTTTAAATAAAAAAAATTACAGTAGAAAAAAAATTACAAAAGTACAAGTACAATAGGGTTCAAGTAATTTATGCATTATTTTAACTTAGAAAGAGTTCATTAATAAATAAAGACACATTATAAAAAAAACTATTTTTAGTTATTGAAATCATCAGATTTTATTCAATGGGTGTGCTATGATGGATTCTGATAATTGTTGACGCAATTTTCAGTTTTGAAAAATTATCCATTGTGCAAACCGTATAAAAATATAAATTCCAGTGCCCCAGTATTCGATACAACAAATACTCATTAAAACATAATGGCTTGTTTACATTATCAGTCGCTTAATTGTTTTTAAGATAAAAAAAACCGATGAACAATAATATCATTGCAGAAGATAATATTACCGACATTGAAAATTTAAAAAAAATGAAATCAGTACAGTTTAAAACATCATAGCAATAAAAACACTGTAAACAATCAATAAAGTGATAAGAAAGAAGTTTAATTCCATCAGCACGGAATTTGTATAACCTATCCCACGGACAAAATATTCCACATTTATGACTTTTACTTCTTACTTTGGTCTGCACAAAGCTATAATATCCTGCAACATAGCTGTGAAGGGAATAATAATTTCTGAAAATAAGTTTCTTATTCACCAGATATCCGAAATGCTACACTATAGTCATATCGATAAGAAAATTCGTTTAAAACCATAATAATACAGACTGACATCGAAAATTGTCTAAAAATATAGGTCTCTCCTAAAACACGGATTACTAAATTACATAAAATCAGGGACCGAAAATAACAGTTATTTTTTAAAATGCGAACAAGCAAATCTTCATGTTAGAGACATGGGACACCAATAGTGTCATATACCAATAGATTCGTACTGAGGAGCCCATTAAGGATATTGAGTGATCTTGAGAAAACACTATCAGTTCCCATGTTAAGGATTATTTTTTAACGGAAAAAATAAACGTTGATTTTTAACTGTTAAAAATGATTTTTATTTTTTCCGTCAAAAATAAAAGTCTTTTTGCGATTTTTATTTTTTCCGTCAAAAATAAAAGTCTTTTTGGGACTTTTATTTTTTCCGTCAAAAATAAAAGTCTTTTTGGGATTTTTATTTTTTCCGTCAAGAAATAAAACTCTTTTTATGTAAAGAAGTTTATACAACTTGTAATCAGTTATAAAATTACAATTTATAAATCTCTGTCCTTATTACAATAAGTGTACACATAAGTAATCAAGATCAAAGGTAAAAAATATTTGTTATAAATTTTTAAAAAATAGTCTAGTGTACCAAATCATGAATATAAATTAAAGAATCATTCCCCTGACTATTAGGTCAAAGGTTATATAACTGGTACCAAACTCTATATGTTTATTTACGTAAAAAGACTTTTATTTTCTGACGGAAAAAATAAAAATCACAAAAAGACTTTTATTTTTGACGGAAAAAATAAAAGTCCCAAAAAGACTTTTATTTTTGACGGAAAAAATAAAAATCCCAAAAAGACTTTTATTTTGGACGGAAAAAATAAAAATCATTTTTAACAGTTAAAAATCAACGTTTATTATTTCCGTTAAAAAATAATTAACTAAAGTGGATTTTTTTAACAGTTAATTTTTACCTGATTTGATATAAGTTATAACCGTTACGGTCCCTGCATAAAATTCAGTGAAGTATTCAGCTAAAATATTTTAAATATGTTCTTGGGGACTAGTTTCTTAAGGACTATCAGAGTCGTATGCGTAGGTTTTTAAAGAATACTTTCAAAGAGACGTAAGGTCGAATTTTTATAACATATTTTCTAATAGATTATCAAAATCACTTAAGGGATTTTGATAATCTATTAGAAAATATGTTATGTTTGTATGTATATTATCTAAAGAAATATTCAAACGTGGATTTTTTTCTAAAATACGATCAGATCCTTAAAGAAGGTTTTATATTGGGTGCCCGGCATTTTGCAATCAAAGGTTCTGTAAATTGATATTTCGGATTATTTAAGGTTGAACAACATCTATAAAGAAATGTTCGAGATACAACCATGTTTTGGCATAGCCCCCATATAAATGTTCCGTCCTATTTCCGATTTTTTTAAGGTTTTAGCTGTGTTCTCTTACCGCAGTAGCTGTAATTACAGCAACTGCAGTGAAAAATTCGACTAAATCCTTCAAAATATAGTAACCTTTATATGTTGGTTACATCACCTCTATATATATATAGCGAATTTTGAAAATTCAATGGACAAAATGCTGCCAAACCCAAAAAATTCTGCAAAAATATGTTCTAAGCTTTAATATCCTGGAAGGTCAAATGATAGCCTCTACAAGAACCCTATAAAAAAATTACAGAAAATGGTTCTTTATCATTATATAGGAAGGAGCTCTATCAAAACGTAAATCGATATTGATAATTTTTGGTAGAAATATTTGACACCCCATTAGAACATGAACAATCCAATTAGAGTCAATTCGGTACCCAAAATCCTCAAAATACTGAATAATGAGGTGAAACATGGGCCAATATTGACAATTTTTGTTAGGGACATTTTCTATCCAATGACAATCCAAAATATTAAATCAATGTTAATGTTGTTAATAGCGTTCCAAAACTCCTAAAAATACGAAAGTTCGGTGTTACCGTAGTGTGGTGGTCTGTCCAACAAAGTTGTTCAATATTGATAATTTTCAGTATAAAGATTTGATACCCACTGACAATCCAAATTACTAAATTATTGACAATTTCATTGAAATTCGTTTCAAACTCTCCAAACTATTGAATAATGCGGGTACGGTTAAAGTGAGCCAACATCCAGAATTTTTGGTAGGGAAGCTTGGCTAGGAAGCTGCCAACTTTTCCTAACGCAAAACCCCAAAATAATATATGTTATCCCCAACGATAATTTATAATCCCATATATTTAATTAAGCTCTTTTCCAGTAAAAATTAGTACATTATTGCAGTACGAGAACAGACCATATGTGTATTCCAGAACCTGCAAGTAAAAAATTTTTTACAACAACTATATTTTCACAAACGACATTTTATACATGCCTTGGGAGCATTTTCTTTGACATTTTCAAAATGAATCTAAAGTTTGTATTTTAAATTAAATTGGAGAATATTGGCTATATTGTAAACACATAAAACATGTCTATTATATTTTTAGGAATACAAATTCATAACCCAAGTTCATTGGTTGTATCGAAAACGTAATCTTCCTAAAATCCTCAGATCCCCTACCAAACTGGAAACACTCGTAGAAAGACATGCTGCTCAATGAGAACTCAAAATACCAAATTACAGCCAATTTGGTTGAAAAACCTTTCCGAAATACCGAATAATGGGAGGTACCGTTACATAAGAGTAACGACATCAATATTTTTTGATAGGCAGATTTGCTACCCAATGAGAATTTCAAGTACTAATTCACTGCAAATTAAGTTAGAAACGTGTCCAAGTTTCCCAAAACAACGAATACCAAGTTATGCCATATATATTTTTGTAAATGTACCTAACATTCTAGGAGTAGTAACAATATATGTGGAAAATTTTCAAAACTCTATCTTAAATATTTCGAGATCTATTTCAAAAGACGGACATGCCTAAATTGGCATAAAATTTTATTCTGACCAAGAATATATATTCTTGGTCACCTTGTCCTGAACTGAAGCGGTAAAAATTTGCAAGGACCATTTGAACTATTTTTTTTTTATAGAAGGTGATGCAAATGTGGTATACCCATTTGTTTTTAGATTGCCAAATTTTTATATTTTAACCGATTAAATTGAAATTTTACACTTAACATGCTACATGTGTTGTCTTTCCATGTATCAAATTGAAAATAATATTATTCTAAAAATTTAAGAGATATTTGAGAAAATATTTGAAATTCCATTAAAAGTGATTTTAAAAAAAGTGAAGGTTTTTTTCCTAAATTAGTAAATATGTGGTGCAATCGCGCATATTATTTGACTTTTAGTACTTATTGATTATTTTAATGCTTTCATAATAAAGATTAAAATAAATCTGTAAAACAAAAAATTATTTTTAAACTTCAACCGAAAAAAAGTCAATTTCATGAAAAATTTAATTTTTGCTACTGATTCTCAACGTAAGTTAAATAAATTAAACAGATCATTGCTATCTTATCTTTTTGAGAACAGCAAACTATAAAGCATGTTTCAGTTATTCTAAAATTTTCAGTTTACAAAAAAAGTGACTATACCACATTACCAACCTATACCACATTTGCATCACTTCCTATACTTCAAATAAAGATATTACTACATATTTCCACATATTCAATTCCAGTTGCAAATGTTTTGACCACCACTGTGTGTGCAAAATTTCAAAACTCAATATTGAATATTGCGGATAGGCATGCATAAATCGACATAGAATTTTATTTTGATCAAGAATATTTTTACTTTATGGTGTCTCCGCTGAATATTTCGAGGTGTTGCAAAGGGAATGACAATTTTAATATACAGTCCACCTGATGTTGGAGGATACAAAATTTTAAAATATGAATTCTAGAATTACCTTCTCCTGGCATATACCCAAAGTGACATGGGAAATTAATTAATTCACCTCTGTTCATTCGTTCGCAACCTATACAGCTAAGTCACGAACCCTATATTATAATTGTTAATAATAATTGCAAACAAAAGAGGGGAGGTCTAATAGAATTGCAGTTCGAAAACATAAAACCACTTACCTTTTTAAACTTCTATTGTGCTGCTATTAAACAATTTATCGCTAAATATTCACACTTCTATTTTTACAAAGAATTTCGAATACTAAATGACTAATTTATTTTTGCTTTATCTAGGATTGCGAAAATGAAAGCACTTATTATGGTTGAGACCCGCACTAACTGATGAACACTTTTAAAAAGGCAACACAAAAATTTATCTCAATAAGCTTTTGTAGTAAACCGAATGGGAACCACAAAAACATAGACAGAAAACCAGTGAGCGGAGCAGTATAGT